AACGTTGGGTTTATGTTGGTTTAACCTTCTTTGGGACGTGATGGATGTAGAAATGATGGTAAAAACACCGCTAACGTGATAGACGTAGCGACAATGTAAAAAAAGCCGTAAAAAAGGGGCAGATGCCGATGCGTTAGATATGGAAGTCAAAGTGTGCCACATAATCATAAAAAAGGTAAAATATAAAATTTAAAAAGAGCTTTATATATTTATATATAAATTAAAACTTTCCAAATATAACGAACATTTCTAAATTACGTAAAAATACAAAGGAACATCTATTGGTCAGGCTGAAACGTTTGGGAACCACTGCTCTAAGTGATAAGTGAATATTGTTTTTAAATATATTTTATGTGCAGTTTTTTAGGGCTTTTATGTTTTCTGTAAAGATCGGTATGCTGAAAATGATTTAATGTTTTGCATAAAGCACGAGGTTTTGGTTAGTAATTGATTGGAAGATAACAAATGACTGAATTAAATGGTGGGGCGCGTCTGTCAGTGTGCCCCAGGGCAGCTGTGGCTACATCGTAGTTCATCCCCATCAGTGTGTGAATGTGTGTGTGTGTGAATGGATGAATGATACACTGTAGTGTAAAGCGCTTTTGAGTCCTTACTCTGAGAGGCACTATACAAGTGCGGATCATTTATCATTTATAGTGTTGATCAGGCAGAGCTTTGTTGCCAGCGTTCCCCTGCATAATGGCTTCAAACACGTATATAATAGATAGTTTTTACGTAAACCGTTGGATGAAATGACACAAACTGACTGAGCTCTAGTTGAGGCGCTTGCGATAGTTTGTGTATGTGTATGTGTATATGTATGTGTGTGTGTGTGTGTGTGTGTGTGTGTGTGTGTGTGTGTATGTGTTTGGGGGAGGGTACATTGGAACTTTGTCCCCCCCAGTTTTAAAATCCTATCTGTGCCCCTGGTCCCACATCTTTACTTTAGCTACACTTTATTATTTATTAACTCTGTAACTTGAAGCCAATATGAGCCTTGACAAACATCATCAGAATTGCTGCATGATGCCAAGACTTCCTTTTTTACTGGAAGAGAACAAAAGTAAGAGACATAACTTGGAGCAATTCCTGGACAAGAACTTCTCAGGTGGGCATATAAACTCACTCAGTCAAGGCATGTTTCATCTTGTCATGATAGATGTTGGTGCCTGAGAAAGGAGCAAGAGAGGGAGTAAAGAAAAGCTCCAGCAATTGGATACGTGCTATTACACGGTCAGCATGAAAAAGGAGAAGTCTTACTAGGAAGGACAGAAACCACCCTCACTGACCTGGTTATTTTCACTTCTCTGTTTTAGGTTTTCTTAATAACACAGATAAAACGTGTGCATTGTGTCATAGTTTTGCATCAGCACAAATTTGGACCAATGAATTTAACCAATTAGAGTCATGGTGTCAGTAAACGAGGGTAAATGTTCAAATAGTCTAAAATTTGACCTGTTGCATTGTGGGATAGCACACCAAAACCAACATCCAGAGTTTGTGATCCTGTTGTTGGTTTATTCATACATCTTTTCTTTCAAGTCCTTGAAAAAAGAAAAACAAGTAGATGAGCATCATCGCGGACATCATACATGAAATCATGGCACATAACAAACGGGATTAGAACAGAACCTTTATCAGCCCATGGACTCCCATTCATTTTTATTGGCTGTAGGAGCCCCATGGTCTGGAAGTAGATAGGCTGCCTACGGGATTACTGGGTAGGTTCAGCGTTCTGCTGTATTACATAAGCTGCATTACATTGGGGCAGCAGTAGCTCAGGTGGTAGAGCGGGTTGCCTCATGATCGGAGGGTCATGGGTTCGATTCCAGCTCCCGCCTGGGGTATCCTGCTGTTGTGTCCTTGGGCAAGACACTTCACCCAACTTGCCTGTGTTGGTGGTGGTCAGAGGGGCCGACGGAGCCAAATGGCAGCCTCGCCTCTGTCAGACTTCCCCAGGGCGGCTGTGGCTACAAGTAGCTTACCATCACTAGCAGTGTGTGAATGTGAGAGTGTGTGAAAGCGTCTTTGGGTGTCTAGAAAAGCGCTATATAAGTTCAATGCATTATTATTATAAGCTCATCCAAAGCATTGCCTCAGATCAAACTGAAAAGCGTTGTATTCACAGCCAGAGCTCGCCACAGATGGAAAAGCGGTGAACTCCACACTTTACAGTTATGTCCTGAATGTTTTAGAAACTAGTCACCTATTTCAACACATAAGATTGGAATCAAGTCTTTCCTGAATGACCCAAAGCTTTATCGTGCAATATCCTGACTCATCAGCAGGCTTACATTTAGATTAGAAACAAAGTGAAATTTTTTACAACCCATGCATCTGATTTTCCCTTTTGTTGGTTAATTTCTGTTTCTTTATCTTTGCCAAAAGACAATTTGCAAAGATAAACCATCGTGTAGCTTATCATCGTAAATCACATTGTGCAAGAGTGTAAGGTTACATAGCTCAGACAGGGCAGGCTGCTTTGAACAAAAAAGATCACTTTAACGAGGATTTTCATTTTATATATATTGTTATACAAGTTTTTAACGTTTTGATCAAGATAAAATGACTTGTACATTCAGATGACCAGATTCACAATGTTTTGTTATAGTGATTTATTTTGCTATTACATTTCAGTATTTTATAGCTTATCATTGTACAATGATTTGAGGTTCGTGGGATTTTATAATGTAAACTTAAAACAGCAATAAAATCTGCTTATTTATAAATATATACCAGGCTTTATAGGAAAAGTATTACTGAGTTGAACAGTCAAGTAGAAATTAATCCTTTAGTTTCAAGTGGATAATCTGATGCCAGTTTTAACATTAAAATGAAAAAGAAACACTTCACTGATGTTTCCGCGGAAAGAGAAGAATTAATTAGAATCATGAAAAAAAGTGATATAAATATTAACTTAATGAGTAATGCAGCACAACATAGATCACATACTAAAAACAGGGAGTTTGAGTCCTCGGATGATGGTCAGAAGGAAATATGCCAATGATAAACTTCAAACTTATTTTATCACCACAAGGTTTGTTATTAAAATGTTTGCAGAAATAAAATTTACTGAAACTAAAATTCTAGTTAATTCGAGTTGATGGTTCTATTCAAACATTTTCATGCAACTTTCAGCAAGAATCAGATAAAGAAAAGTCAGCCACTGTTAGCCTGTGATGCGGTAGCCTAGCCTGCCAGACTTCTCTGTTTAATTCTGCACAGAAAAAGGGTCTTAGAACTCTCCTATTCAAATAACCCCACCCCCAAGAATTTTAGCCGAGCCAATCAGCGCTGAGTAGCGCACGTCACACACCATAACGTTTGTCATATACATGGCGACTGAAGCGGAGTTCGCTGCGGCTCTTTCCTCTGTTCTAAATGACTTGAATGTATTTAAAACCACAACAAGTAGAAGCGCTAAAAGCCTTTCTTCTAAAATAAAGGATGTTTGCTCCGTTGCCAGACACCATTTTTGACTAAAGCTAAAAAACCACAGCGTCGCGCGATACAGTCGGCATTTCTGTCTTTTTTCTGATTGGTTATTTTTGAGCTGCCGAGTCCCGCCCCTCATGTGCCTCTCTGCCTGTGAGTAACCAAACTCTTTCTCTGTGTAGAATTAAACAGAGGACGAGTCTGGCAGGCCAGGCTAGTGATGTGGGGTCCCTCAGGGTTCTGTTTCTAGGTCACTGTTGGTTTCACTTTTAGTCTACTTCTTTAAATTTAGCAACATTTCTTTCCATATTTATTCAGATGACATAAAAGTGTTAAACCTGAATGTTTGTCAGAAATTACAAAATGTGTTAAATACATTTTGTGTACTCTGATGTTACATGTCTCTGTCCCGTTGGCCTGGCTGTGTGCAGACCCTGATGCAGCTTCAGACAGATCACCTTGGGAGCTCCTGCCTTTTTGCTGTTTTGGTGAGGCACTTTTGCGGCTGCTTTAAATAAAAATAAAAATAAAAATAAAATAACCCTCTTAAATACCTAACTATGTTTTGTCTCCATTTTATGTTGTAGTCCCGTGAGCCGGTGTAGGTATTGGATCGGGATGCTGCGCCTGTTGATGACGTCACACTAGATGACTGGCTGAATGTATGACTTACAGATTCTATCTTTTAGTTCTTTTTAAAACACAGAAAGGTTTAATTGACCTGCAACGTTTCGTTTGCGGCTGCAGATCAGCGTCAGCCTGACGAAGTTTGCTGCCACAAACGAAACGTTGCAGGTGAACAAAACCTTTCTGTGTTTTAAAAAGAACTAAAAGATGGAATTAGAATTTCAACACAGCAAGAACACACCAAAGATGACTTACAGATGTTACGTTACCATGTTTGTAAAAGTTACGCTAGCACGTTGACACAGAAGATTTTGATTGGTCTGGACAAGTTTGAGGTTGTAGACCGAATGGTCCAGAAAAGCATTCTTTGTTTTGAGGAAAATATGTTTATATTGTCAAAGGAAATGTAAAATAAAAGAAAAACTATCAGTTGATAAACGAGGACCCTCAGGAGCTCTGGTTTGGATGAAATAGGGCAAAATTTAAAAGAACTTTATTGAACAAATAAGTACACAACTTGCCCATTGAGTTGCCTTTGAGTAGAAAAAGTGCTACATAAATAAAGCTGTCTTGTCTTGAATGAATAGATTTATTTACAGAAGAACAAATAAAATAAACTGAAGAATTCCACAATTATATAAATGGAAAAGGCTGCTAATTATATAAATACATCAAATAATTTCACAAATAAGAACTGTTGTGCTTTCTGGCACAGTCTGATATTGGTTTTATGTAATTTCACATTCTTTACAAAACAAATACAATATGTTTTTTTAATTAATATCTTAGTTATAAAGAAACAAAACGACTACACTTTTTGTGTGAAAGAACAATATCAAAAAGAAAGGCTATATGGATTTGCCATAGTGTGACATCGCCGAGCAGATCAGGTACCACCAGAGTTCCATTCATCAGGCAGTAGAGTCAAACCACATCTGCTGTGTTTGAATATGGAGTTTATTATTGTTTAACAAAGAAAATTACTTGAAAAGACAAAAAGAAAGAAACCTTTTTAGAGAATTTTTGATAAACTGCAAACATCAACAACAAAAAAAGAACTTGAAATAATTGATGGGTGTTACAAAAGGAACTTATTGTAGGGTTCCATCTTCCACCTTTTTTTTCTGTCCTGTGAAGTTTCTGTGGAGCAGCACTCAGTGATCGTAATGATAGATAGGGTCACTTACTTCTTCCATATAAGTCCTAAGCAAACAGACTGAGAAACAGACATCAGTATGTCAATAAAATATGATAAATAGCATTTAATTTGATGAAAAGCTTTATCTACTTTAAATCTCTTTATTGGTTTAATGGTTTTCTCTTATTTGTCGTTATTTATTGCATTCGTTTTTTTCTTTTATTTGTGAGTGGCTCAGGGGTGCACACACAGATGAGTCAAGCAAAAAATTCAAAGCCCTCAGATGGTGGTTGTGATTGGCCATGTGCTGCTTGTCTGTAAGATAGGAAAAAGGGAACCACGGTGAATCATTTTAATATTATTAATTAGATTTAACAAGAAGCAAGATAGGGAAAAAAACAGAACTAAATCGGCCAGAAGCTTACACACAAACGGACAAAAACAAAATCCATAAACATTAACTGACGATTCAAATTTAATGTAATATTTACTTCTTATCCACTTTAAGCAATATGCAATGATGCCACCACATAAACACTAACCCATTTAACCATTTTACATATTTAAACCTTTTCTAATGTTACTTACACAGTTCGAAGGATTGCTTTAGTGAAATTTGACTCAGGATCAAGACATCTTGAGCTTTTATCTTTCAGTATGACACTAGAACAGAAGGAAAACAATAAAACATCCTGCAATTAAAGCTCGTCTATGTTTTATTGTTACACTTACATCACTTCATGTTTACTGCAGTACGGATGAGGCTCATACTCTCTGACTTCTGAGATGAGAGAGAGGTTTACTCCAGTTCTTGTCTTTACACACTGGCAGGTCTTTAAAGCTGTGTCATTGAGTGAAAAAATGAATAAAACATTTTGTCTTTGCTGACCTGCTAAACCAATCTATACATATACAGGCAGGAGCATTTGAGCATAAACTCATTTCACCTTAAACAATCTAAGGCTTTTCATGGTAAATTACACACTTACTTGCTGAGTTGCAGATGACCACACAAGTAATCAGGATTACAAGGCACTGGACCGAAGGATTCATCCTTGTCTCAAATGAAACTGTAGTTAATATTCAATATCAAAGAAAAGATTTAATCCCTTTTCCTTCAGTCCTCAAGTTGCCTGAGTGTCGGTCCACGGATTGGTGTCTGAACACAATAACTGTTGTTATTCCATCAGTTTTTCCTGGAGCTCTTGTTTCCTTTTATGGACTTCCCTCAGAAAGGACTTTTGGACATCTCTGAAACTAGTTCCTACACGCAGATGAGAACAAAGGAGGATCCATCTTTCTTCTGTGGGTGTCAATGAGTTTAAAGAGCAAAACCAGATGATAATGTGATCTCTGAGTTGTTTTGACAAAATAATCATTGTTACAGTTTTTAACATGTATGAATGTTTTGCTTTTGAATTGCAGTCGGAAGGGGGGGGGGGGGGGGCAGCTGTGGCAACCGGAATAATATTCTTTATTTGCTAACATATTTTTAACAGTTTAATACTTGTCATTATTTGAAATTCTATGTTTCATTTTAAAATTTGCTCTGTAGGCTTGGTCTGGACGTAAGAAAGAAAGAAAGAAAGAAAGAAAGAAAGAAAGAAAGAAAGAAAGAAAGAAAGAAAGAAAGAAAGAAAGAAAGAAAGAAAGAAAGAAAGAAAGAAAGAAAGAAAGAAAGAAAGAAAGAAAGAAAGAAAGAAAGAAAGAAAGAAAGAAAGAAAGAAAGAAAGAAAGAAAGAAAGAAAGAAAGAAAGAAAGAAAGAAAGAAAGAAAGAAAGAAAGAAAGAAAGAAAGAAAGAAAGAAAGAAAGAAAGAAAGAAAGAAAGAAAGAAAGAAAGAAAGAAAGAAGAAGAAAGAAAGAAAAAAAAAACAATCTTTTATATAATTATCTCAAGATAAAAATCACAAGGTGCTTCACAAAAAAATAATTAAAAATTAAAGTATAGAAAAGGTTTGAAAAATTATTAAAAAATATGTTCAAAATGAGAGAAAAAAGTAGAAATTGTGATCAAAAAAATAATAATACGTGGAAAGGTAAGAGAGAAAATGAATAGGAAAGAGGGAAATCAGTGGATCGTGGGGAAATGTTGAATAAGAAGAAAGGAGCAGCTGACATGCAGTTTTCTTTTAACTTTGATCATATAAGTGTTGATAGTATTTGTGTGTGATGTTTTATATGCGTCACGTTTACCTGCCTGGGAAAGTGCATGGTCCTTTTAAAATACTTGGATGGTTGATAGACTCTTTACTGACCCCTACAGGGAACTGCTGTGCAGCAGCAGAAACAAAACTAAACTGGCAGAAGTAAATATTTTCTGCAGATGATTCAAAATAGTACAGTAAAAAGTTCTGAGGTAAATAAAATAAATCAACATTCAAGTTCAGATCAATCCTGAAAAGTCCTGTAACATGTTTACTTTTAACATTTTCTTAGTTTTGCTGCTAATCATCCAGATGAACCCACGGCACGAGTCCAGGTCTGTTTATAGTCTCAGTCTGACCACTAGTGGTTTGATTTGAAACACAACTTGTTTAATTCCTGAGGTTAGTTGTTAATTTGTCCGATTTTTTATCGTTAAACCTATTTAAAAGACCAAACATACAAAACAAACGAGGAAAAAAAGCTATTTACGTATATGAGAGAGTCTGTTTATAATTATCTCCGTGTCACGAGGGGACGGCTCATAAATGAAAGTGAAACTAACTTGGGGGAGGAAGTATAAAAAGCAGTGCCATGTTTATAAAAGGTTTTTCGGTAGATCTGACTTTAGGGCCGATTAACAAAACCAGAGCAGCCATTGTTCCGTCGAAAGAAGAGGATGTGCAGCAGATAGCTGAGTACAGGCCGAAGAAGAACTCCACCTGGTGAGTTCTAATCTAATCATGTAACAAGCAGCTCTGTACCCAGTCACACTTTCAGCCTAACGCAGATGTTGTCTCCTCTAAATGACATTTATTTGGTGAGGCTGCATAGTTGCTGTCTTTTAGCCCCAGCAACCAGCTAAAAATAAACTTTCATCTGACACTAATGGTCCCTTGATTGCTAGGGTATAAATGAAAACTGCACCTGGAGTCAGGGTCTTACACTGATCTGTTAGTTCTTTGAAGAGAGCAGAAAGATGGGAGGAAGTGTCAAGTTCTTGATCTGACTAGGAAACAACAGGTAGGCTAGCAGTGACATGCTGATTTTTGTTTCAACCCTGGCATATTTAAAACAACAATAATCGGATTTATAAAAATAATAAGATACTTTATTTTTTTCTTTTATAACTAGATGGAATTCCATCAATTGGATGAGCAGTTCAAACTTGTGAAGAATGATTTTACCCGAGTGGGTGGTGCTTTTAGCGCCAGAGGAAATACAGACACAGTCATACTGACAGGCCCTTCCAGGTTCAGAGGTGCTAAACCTGTTGGACTCCACACAAATGTTTTAAGAAAGAGAGTTCATCTGCCTCAGGATTTATTAACTTTCATTAAATCCAAAAATGCCATCCTGAAGTATGAGACACTCTTCCAACAGCGTTTCAGCCATCCCATTTTCATAGAAGTTGGGTCAGAGCTGATGCTGTCAAGTTTGTGCCCTCGTGACCTGGACGAGGCTCTGGAGGTGGTGGTAGGGGATCTGTGTGTGCGGGTTGAGAAACTCCACGGCGCTGCAGCTCTACCTCCAGATGTGGACAAAATAAAAGAGCTCCTGATCAAAGCGAAGACGGATGCAAACCGCGATGAAGTCAGAGTGGACGTCATCTTCATCCCTGGGCAAAACACAGCCACGGTGACCAAAGTACGGCTGGTGGGCTACACCGAACACGTCAACAAGCTCACAGCGGTTCTCCTCGACTACCAACTGAATCAAGTTTTAACTGAACAAGTGGTGAATCTGCCACATCCTGAACTGGTTACTTATTTTGACAAGATCTTGGATATGATCGGCATGAAGCAGACAAAAGTAACCTTAAAGCCCCTGCTTTATCCACATTCTTGTGTGGCTGTATCTGGCCCTCGTTGTCACTTTGTTGAGGTCCATCAGCATCTTACGTCTGTTCTAGGCGGCCTGACATTTGATCATTTGGTTTTTAATGGACCAGGGGCTCAGCGTTTCTTCGAAGCGGATGGTAAAGAGCGCAAGGAGCAGATTGAGAGTTCCTGCAAAGTTCTTATCAGAGAGAAGCACGGTAAGCCCAAAATTCCACTAGCTCCGCTCCGGCACGAACTCCGCAGCAAAAACGGTCCCGTTGTAGTAATCAGAGCTGTTCCACTATTGCGGCCGTGCGGCGCAGTGCGCCGCCCGCCATTCCGCCATCCGGCAAAAATAGGATCAATTCTATTTTTGCCGGACGCCGGAGCACGTCTGCAGTCAATGGACAGAAACCACAACCGCCCAGCAGGAAAGGGAGCAAGCACAGCTTCCGTTATTTCACAATAAATCGATAAACAAAAAGCGTTTTTTGTTTCATATGCACAGGTTTAACAACTTTTAACAACTATCAATGGCGGCTGAACTTTAAATGCACAAAAATAAGCCATAAATACAGTTTCCACTAACAAAGCAGTCACCCTTTGTTGATCCAAACACTGCTGATCTCTCAACACAAATGATGGACAGATTAAACAGTTCATTTCGATGCTTCTCCCACACAACAGGTGTTTGGATCTAACTTCCGCGTTTATTGCTCGGACTGTATCGCAAGATCTCGAAAATCCCGCGTATGCCTGTTTGCGCACCTCAGGTCTTCGCACCGGAGCGGAGCCGTTGTAGAGCGGGTATAGTATAATTTGAGTTCGGAAGCGAGTGGCAGCAGAGGGCAGAGCGAAGCGGGGGTAGTGGTATTTTGGGGTAAGCTTGTCACCTTCCAATAAATACACAAAAGGTCTTAGTTTTAGCATCACCTGATTGTATTCTGTCCTCAAATTTTGACTCTGCTGTTTTTCCTTCTTCGTCTTTTAACTCAGGTTCACGCAGTCATACACTCCAGCAGTCTGCCTTCTTTCTCGTGGGCCTTCTTAGAAAAAATGTGGATGATGCAACGACACAGATGAAGAATCTATACCAGAATAACAGTTCCACAAAAACCTTCACAAAGGAGGACCTGGCAGATCTGACCCAGGACGATATGAAGGAGGTGAAGCTGCTTGCAGAGATTGAAGGCCTGTATTTGCAGGAGGGCCAGCCCAGTCCGGGAGGTTTGATGGTGAGCGGGCTAAAGGCTGGTGTCAACCAGGTGGCACTGAAGCTCCAAACCACAATTCCCCTTAGGAGGCTATTGAGAATTAAAGAGGAGGACGGTTTGTACCCTCGTGTGTCCTGGTGTATCCTGGGACTTAATGGCTGCTGGGAAAGGCTTCCTAAAACAGCCAATTACAGACTGGAAAAGTGTGATGCCACAAAAGGCATAGTGGACACACAAGGAGTCGCATGGAGTGTAAATCTGCAGAGGATGGAGGCCACTGAACACATAGTTGGAGGGACGGCAAAGTTGAAGCGACTTGAAAATCTGCAAGGTAACTAATTCAGGGTGAACACAGAGGAAACTGAAGTTGCAATATTTGCTTTTATTAATTGTTAGTTAATTGATCACTTGTTTAAAAGCTTTTTTAAATGGGGGAAAAAAGTAAAAAAATTCAATTTTTAGAAGAATCAAAAGTCTAGTAAAACACTTATTGGTTGTGGTCAGCTGCATGAAAGTATGGCAAACATTGGGTATCAAAAAGTGGGTCTCTTTTGAGGATATGCATTCTTTTTTTTCTAATAAGAAAATAGAAGCTACATGTACAAATGCTGGTCATGAGATTAGAATATCATAACAAAGTTCATTTATTTCAGTAATTCCATTCAAAACATTGTCAGTTCAAATCATCAACATTAAAAGAAATAAACTGAAATACATCCTTCTGGGTTATGAATGAATTTACTAGTTTTACTTTTTGAATGGAATTACTGAAATAAATGAACTTTTTTATGATATTCTAATTTTATGACCAGCACCTGTAAACTGCAGACTGTGGAGAGGGATAATGAATGTTGGGGAAAGCCGGAGTAAGTCCGGTATGTCGAAGGGTAAAATTTAACTCATTCACTGCCAGCCTGGTCGCTAAAGGCCTTCGCTGCCAGCGTTTCTCACTAGAGCCCTGCACGAGCCTAAAATCTGAGCCCGTGTCCGGCCCGGCCCGAGGGGGGTGGAGCCCCAGCCCGACCCGGCCCAAAAAGGTTTTCAGGATTCTCTGGCCCGACCCGAGCCCGACTTTTTTTTAACCAACTAAATGAAAACAAATTGTGTCAGTCCTGACCAATGTGTTAAAAGACATGCAGGATCCGATCAATTTGTTTTTCCCTCATTTACCGTCACGGAGATAACAGCGCAGGCTCTGGTGGTAATCAAGTTAAATTTTATCTCTTTCCAACACTTTTCACAAGAAAACAAAACCGTTAAAAGCAGGGCTTGTGTTGTGTTGACCAGATAGTTCCCGTATTTGACAGTTTATTTTGACGGAGAAAGAATAGAAAGAATTACCCCGACGCATGCAGCCGAACTGACATACGCACATTGCAGATGTAGCTAAATCACCCAAGAAAAGATTCCCATCTGAACATCTGAGCTGGACACTGCTCAGCGCAGCTCACTGTCAGCGCATATGTGCACAGCGAGCTGAAGATGTGGAGATTGGCTTGGAGCGTGTTGCAGAACCAGAGCGTATGCGGGAAGGCTCCTCCCACTGAAGTGAGTGTTTTTCAAACCCTGTCTCTCAGAGAGACTTGTCACTTAGAAAATGTTCCCTGATTATGAAACTTTGGCTGAAAAGTGCTTGATCCTGTCTCCAATGTGGCGACGCATCCAGGATCCGTCTGAGGAGAATCCCAGAATCTCACATCCTCTTCAGCTCAGGAAGCGCATATGATTACGCACAAGCGTGACCCGTCAACCCGGTCTCACAATAAGACTGGGTTGGGCCTGTTCAGGTTTACGCAGACAATCTTTACATAGAATTGACTTACGGATATAAAATTAATTCAGTAAAATATAAAGCATTTTATTTAAATATCCATTCATTATTTTACAAGCACAGAGAGCCGCATCAGATTCAGATCAGCGGGAAGATTCCTCCGACTGAATTCAGTCGGAGGAATCTTCCCGCATGCGCTCTGGTTCTGCGACTGTCCGGTCAACACAAACCCTGCTTTTAACTGTTCTGTTTTCTTGTGAAAATTGTTGCAAAGAGATATAATTAAACTTGATTACCACCAGAGCCAGGCGCACTGCGCCATTATCTCCGTCGCTGTAAATGAGGGAAAAACAAAATGATCGGATCCTTTTCTGACCTTCCCCACCTACAAAGTTTAATTACAACAATCAAACATGACAGAGCCTGGATTTGTATTCTGAACAGTCTAAACATGTTTTAAAAAGAAACATATGACAAAAGTGGCACCTGCTCAGTAAAACAACCAACAGGGTGAAAAATATCAAAATATTGTAGGCAGAGACGGGCTACAACTTCTGGATCCACTTTATATAAATCGTTTTATTGATTATCTTCTTATGAAAGATAACTTTGACGTACACGAGCGACCGGTACTGGCTGCTGTCACCTGTTGTGAGCAGCTCTCTGCTGTCTGAGGGTAGGCCCCGCCCACAACGCCGCGGCTGCTGTGGCTCCCAGTGTTTTCTTTACTGTGGGAAACGGGTAATAATGGCTCTTTGATGGGAACAGGTTGCCGACCCCTGGTTTAAGTGTTTCAATTTTTTTAATGAATTCGATTAAAAATAAAGGCGCCCGGCCCGGCCCGTGTCCGAGGTGATTACACAGTCGTTGGCCCGAAGCCCGGCCCAAGGGCCGTCGGGCCGGGCCGACCCGACCCGAGGGCCTAGGGTTTCAGTGCAGGGCTCTATTTCTCACCATTTTTACTGTTTTTTTAAGAGTCACAGAACGTTGCGCGCTAGGATGATGTCGACGCCAAAACAACCAAAACAAAGAGGAGACTCACCACTTACATCAGGAAGAATCCACGCGTTTTAAGCGTTATCCGTTCTTTCATAATCCGTTGTCGAATTGTGATCGGCAAACGCTTTTCCGGTTCACGCCTCATATTTTTTACAGGAACGGCCCAAAACGATCTCCTAACACATGGATGTTCTGCTTCCTGATCACGTGACGTGTGACATATGTGGATGAAGATCGGCTTCAGAGCTGAGATGTTTGTTCTCTCAGCGCGGGGGCTCGTTCCGATGCTCAGAGTAAAAAAATGCAAATGACGACTGGATCTAAAATGATGACTTTAGTCGTCAATGGCAGTGAATGGGTTAAAAGTGCTGATACAGCGTACCTGTGCATGCTGGTTCAAACAATAAAAGGTACCATGTTATATCAGTTATCATGCTTTTATGAGAAACTACTGCTGGTCAGTGGTGCAGTTTACTAATCTCAGCTATACATTTTGATGTAGCTTCTCTTGCTTCAATTTTCTTTTTTTCACATTTCTCTTCTGCAAATTTTCTCCACCAGATTTCACTCTTCCTCTCTACTGGGACAGTATGGGTGAGAATGAGTATTTTCAAGAGTTTCTACTGGAACCTTCTTCTGCAGAGTATCACACAGTGCAGAAGGCCTTCAACAAAACTGCCCAGAAGATGGTTGTAAAGGTAAGTACCTTTCATATTTATTTATTTATTTGCACAATTTTTGTCCACAATTTACAGTTTATAGCAGTTAGATATGTTTAACAATTGTTTGGGATTGTTTTTAAACCAACGGTTTTTATATTCACTGATGTGTTGGTTGTTCTTTCCTGTCAGATTGTGCGCTTGCAGAATATCCACCTGCGTCGCGTCTATGAAATGCAGAAAAAGAACATTTCTGAAAAGAACCAACAGGATGGAGCAGGTGAAAAGCTGCTGTACCACGGTACTAGCCAGGAAACCTGCACTGCCATCAAAACTAAAGGATTCAACAGGAGCTTTTCTGGGAAAATGGTAATAATCATTTGATGAGTGTAGCTTTAACATTGTTTGGGTTGAGTAGTTTTTTTTAATGAGATGTTTTTGTTTAAAGAGCAAGACACCCCCTACCAGAGTATTACTACACTACTACTTCCTGTTTGAAAAATGCAACAAAGGCTGTTGCCTAGCAGACCGAGAGGGCGGAGCCGCTAACACACACACACACACACACACACACACACACACACACACACACACACACACACACACACACACACACACACACACACACACACACACACACACACACACACACACACACACACACACACACAGGCTCACAACAACATTGTGACATCATATGGTACCAGCTAACGTCCTAGGGTACCTCTTAGCCAATAGCGATGGCAGATTTAAATTCAAATGCAGTGCAGAGTTTTTACCTGACAATGGCACAACATTGACAGTTTTAGGCAGAAAATTAAAATTTTAACTAAAATGCACTAAAGTGCAAAAGTATTGACTACACGTGTCTGCAGCACGATTAGACATGCAATTATATAGTTTATCAGGAAAAAAAGTTGATTTGAGGGTGACTTGCTCTTTAAACAATTTAATACAGTAATATAGTCCTTGGATTGATGACAAATTACTTTATAGTTTTTGTAGCATTTAGTAGATTTTTTTTGAAACCAAACAAATAATCTCAAAAAGTCTCTTTGGAGTTTTTTGCTGGTAAAACAGTGTATGTAGCCAGTTAGTACTTTACAGACTCTGAAGATCATTTTACACCATCTGGCATTGGAAAACATTTTGACTGATTGTCTTAATAATATAACATTTACTTCAGTTTTCCATTCACAGCAACAGCATTTGGTCATGGGACCTACTTTGCTGTAAATGCCAGTTATAATGCCAATGCCACCTACTCAAGACCGGCAGCTGATGGTACTCAAGCTGTGTTTGTGGCCTGAGTCCTGACAGGCATGTACACTGTGGGCCACAGTGCCATGAGGGTACCGCCGCCTCGTAGCAGCCAACAACCCCATGACTGCTATGACAGCGTGGTGGACAGAATTGACAATCCCAGCACGTTTGTTGTGTTCCACGATAACCAAGCCTATCCAGACTACCTCATCACCTTTAGTTAAAAAAATCCTAGTTGGATTCTTTCATACTGTTAGGAGACCAGACGGCTGCAGCTTTTAACAACTTTTTGAGTTTAGTACAAATGTTTCGTATTCATACCAGTTGTCTTCTTCACCAACTTTTCTTGAAGCAGTCTTCAAAAACTTGCAAAAACCTACTCAAATGTGTCAAACTCTTTCTATCCATGTAATAAAGGTAGACCTCTCTTTTGTTTATAACTCAGCTTTATCACTAACCATGGATTTGATAAAACTGGTCATTCAATCCAATCGATAAGATTTTTTCAACAATGAGGACAGAGCAGGGGGCTCCCACATGTCGACAGGGGACGCACTCGGTGGGATATATTTTGGATTCCTGGAAGGAGTGGAAGATCATATGCCTCTCCCAGCTGTCCATTGAGGACATCGAAGATGTGTGGATATTTGGTCTGTTGATCACTGGATTTCTCCTGATTGGAGTGGGAGGATATTTGATTGGAGGGCGACCCGCACCCACGGAAAGCACCGTCTGTGTGGAGACTTCTCAGACTGGGTCGTTACTCGAAGTGAATCGTAAGCTGGACAATGTTCTAGCTGTGATACCGGTATTAGTGCACAAAATGGATGTCATCTCGGAGAGAGTCACCGGACGGTATGGCGAAGTTTAAAACCCAAAATTGGCTTCACTGAAGGACTGGAAATGATCAGTTTAAAGACTGAAGGCAGAGAGGAAAATTATCTCAGCCTGACCCAAACAAATTCTTGTTATCTGAATCTGACGCCCTGGTAGCCTTGAGCTGCAAACAACTAAAACCCCCACGAAGGAATGCAGACAGATGCTGTGAAAACCCGACCTCCCCCCCCCCCCCCCCCTCCTCCTTTGGATTGGTGGACTTCAGCCTGGCGAGGTCATCAGCTGGAGGAGTCAATGTGCTCTTCGCTTCTCCCAAGATCTCCCTCCCACCTGTGACTGTACAGTAGATGAGCGCCTTAGATGGCTGCTCTCGCTGGGGGAAACAGGATCCCAGCCCCCCCCCCCCCCCCCCCCCCCCCCCGCCTTCATATTGGAGTCTCATGTTGTGACTGTTGATGTTTGTGCTCATATGTTTGAGGTGTTTTTTTTTTTTACATAGCAAAGCGACACCCTGTCGGGAGTAACTCTGGAATGCCTTTTTTCCCTCCCCAATTTATCCTCATGTAATCCCCATTTCATCTAAATGAAATGAGCGCCGTTCATGGCTGCTCTCGTGGTCTGCCTGTATCTGTTTTGTCTACATGTGTGTGTGTGTGTGTAACCTTGGTCAGGCTGTACTGCAGAGTCAAATTCCTATGCTTCGGGTCGCTGGAGCACTGGCAATAAAGCTTTCTGATTCAGATTCAGATTCTGATTCTATTGATATCACACTGTGACTCATGCCGTCAGCTGAAAGAGAAAAATGAATATTACAGGGAGTGTCTGCATGCAAGCTCTACCAGGGTGTGGTCTTTAATTTGAATGGGCAGGTGTTGACTTGTACTTTAAATTGTATTCACCTGCTTCTTCCTCCTTCCAGTTTATGACTTCAGAAAGCGCATATCTTGCATGTTGTTGCACTACAATCAGGTTAAACAGTTTTAAGTAGTACTTAGCGGTAATCTTAAATCTTTTATGTCAGGATTTTAAGCTGGTTTATTTGCACTCTTTGAAATTTAGTGTGGTTCTTCTCATCTTCCTGTTATCCTCTGATCTCTGCTCAGCTTCTCCCCCGTGGTCTGAATCTGTTACCATCTCAGCCGTTCCTCAGTATTCACCTTTATTAGCCATATCTATTAATTTTCTTGGCTCAAAGTCACTTCCTCTCATTTGCCAAACCCATCTCTTCCTGAAACATGTAGTGAATAAGTCTTTTGTTCCTGTCATACATGCCCTTTTCCTGGTCAAGTTATGGGTCATTTAATTAAACCCTGTTTGAAATTATTACCAGCCTGCTGCTGTGTTCTACTTCATTGCTGGGTCCTGCCTACCCTGGCTATCATTACTGTTAGAAGTTAGAATACGTTTGTGTTGGGGGCTAAAAATGTTAAAATATTAAAATGTAATGAATGTTTGAATGTGTTGATGGCTGTAAATGTTGTGGTGGTGCTCAATTTAAATAAAATATGTGGAGCTGATGTGTTGTGAGCATGAGATACTTCTGGATATATTGCAACCTATGCAACATAGTTAAACAAACAGGGTAAAATACCATAAAAATGATCAAGTCTTTAAACTGGTGTGATATACCTTTTAAAACAACGATTTAAAAGGTAGCTGGGCACAAAAACAAGTTGGGAGTCTTGAAACAAATGTAGGCGTGTCTATTGGTGCATGAGTAATGAGGAGGCGGAACATAAATGAAAATGAAACTTACTCATCAGAGCACATCTCAGAAAAGAGACACACACAGAGGAGCAGAGCCTAAAATGAATGCATACCAGTATCCGTTATTCTTTGAGGCAAGAGATCTGACAGACAGGGAGAAGAGGAAGATCTGGAGACACTTTCAAAGAAGAAGAGACTCTGGAGGAGGCGAATGTTCAGTGATCGAAAAGGTTGAAGACGATGTCTACAAAGTCAGTTTTCAGGAAAGCCAAGGTATGAAGTAAAGTTGAGGTAAACAGAGAAAATGTTGCAGCAGGTGTGTAATTTATGACTTTGTTCTCACAGACCAGCAGAGAGTTTTGCAGAGGAAGACTCATACCATTTCTCTTCCTGGTGGAGTACTACGGCTAACCATGAGAGAAACCAGTTTGTCCCAGGGTCAGCCACTGGCAGGCCAACATGAAGTAAGGTTTTATCTGCATGTGGACTGAATAATCGCATTAATTCTCATCTATTTACAGGTCCTTCTCAAAAAAATTACCATATTGTGATAAAGTTTATTGTAGCTGCCAGCTGAGCAGCTGATGGCAATGACCCTTAATTGGCTCACAGAATTTATATAAGCCACACCCTTCCAGAGAAAACTGCTTGGGTTAATTTGTTTGTAGAGAAGATAACACTGTTTGAAGCATTGAAATTATGTCTTTAGCCTAAATTCACCTCAGCTGCACATTGCCATCTGCATCCCCACTCAAATCTACAGATAAAGCAGCTTTGAGGAATTATTGTTTTGTTTAGCACCCTTGGCCAGCGGAGCAAGTTTTCACTGTAGCTGCCCCTGGCACCATGAAGAAAAGAACGGAGAGCCTCGACGGGTGCAACTCATGGAGTGAAGCCCAAGGCATTGGACCAGAGAAACTAATAAAAGTTTATGCACCCGTCGAGGCTCTGATGGTACTCAAGCTGTGTTTGTGGCCCGAGTCCTGACAGGCATGTACACTGTGGGCCACAGTGCCATGAGGGTACCGCCGCCTCGTAGCAGCCAACAACCCCATGACTGCTATGACAGTGTGGTGGACAGAATTGACAATCCCAGCACGTTTGTTGTGTTCCACGATAACCAAGCCTATCCAGACTACCTCATCACCTTTAGTTAAAAAAATCCTAGTTGGATTCTTTCATACTGTTAGAAGACCAGACGGCTGCAGCTTTTAACAACTTTTTGAGTTTAGTACAAATGTTTCGTATTCATACCAGTTGTCTTCTTCACCAACTTTTCTTGAAGCAGTCTTCAAAAACTTGCAAAAACCTACTCAAATGTGTCAAACTCTTTCTATCCATGTAATAAAGGTAGACCTCTCCTTTGTTTATAACTCAGCTTTATCACTAACCATGGATTTGATAAAACTGGTCATTCAATCCAATCGATAAGATTTTTTCAACAATGAGGACGGAGCAGGGGGCTCCCACATGTCGACAGGGGACGCACTCGGTGGGATATATTTTGGATTCCTGGAAGGAGTGGAAGATCATATGCCTCTCCCAGCTGTCCATTGAGGACATCGAAGATGTGTGGATATTTGGTCTGTTGATCACTGGATTTCTCCTGATTGGAGTGGGAGGATATTTGATTGGAGGGCGACCCGCACCCACGGAAAGCACCGTCTGTGTGGAGACTTCTCAGACTGGGTCGTTACTCGAAGTGAATCGTAAGCTGGACAATGTTCTAGCTGTGATACCGGTATTAGTGCACAAAATGGATGTCATCTCGGAGAGAGTCACCGGACGGTATGGCGAAGTTTAAAACCCAAAATTGGCTTCACTGAAGGACTGGAAATGATCAGTTTAAAGACTGAAGGCAGAGAGGAAAATTATCTCAGCCTGACCCAAACAAATTCTTGTTATCTGAATCTGACGCCCTGGTAGCCTTGAGCTGCAAGCAACTAAAACCCCCACGAAGGAATGCAGACAGATGCTGTGAAAACCCGACCCCCCCCCCCCCTCCTTTGGATTGGTGGACTTCAGCCTGGCGAGGTCATCAGCTGGAGGAGTCAATGTGCTCTTCGCTTCTCCCAAGATCTCCCTCCCACCTGTGACTGTACAGTAGATGAGTGCCTTAGATGGCTGCTCTCGCTGGGGGAAACAGGATCCCAGCCCCCCTGCCTTCATATTGGAGTCTCATGTTGTGACTGTTGATGTTTGTGCTTATATGTTTGAGGTGGTTTTTTTTTACATAGCAAAGCGACACCCTGTCGGGAGTAACTCTGGAATGCCTTTTTTCCCTCCCCAATTTATCCTCATGTAATCCCCTTTTCATCTAAATGAAATGAGCGCCGTTCATGGCTGCTCTCGTGGTCTGCCTGTATCTATTTTGTCTACATGTGTGTGTGTGTGTGTAACCTTGGTCAGGCTGTACTGCAGAGTCAAATTCCTATGCTTCGGGTCGCTGGAGCACTGGCAATAAAGCTTTCTGATTCAGATTCTGATTCTATTGATATCACACTGTGACTCATGCCGTCAGCTGAAAGAGAAAAATGAATATTACAGGGAGTGTCTGCATGCAAGCTCTACCAGGGTGTGGTCTTTAATTTGAATGGGCAGGTGTTGACTTGTACTTTAAATTGTATTCACCTGCTTCTTCCTCCTTCCAGTTTATGACTTCAGAAAGCGCATATCTTGCATGTTGTTGCACTACAATCAGGTTAAACAGTTTTAAGTAGTACTTAGCGGTAATCTTAAATCTTTTATGTCAGGATTTTAAGCTGGTTTATTTGCACTCTTTGAAATTTAGTGTGGTTCTTCTCATCTTCCTGTTATCCTCTGATCTCTGCTCAGCTTCTCCCCCGTGGTCTGAATCTGTTACCATCTCAGCCGTTCCTCAGTATTCACCTTTATTAGCCATATCTATTAATTTTCTTGGCTCAAAGTCACTTCCTCTCATTTGCCAAACCCATCTCTTCCTGAAACATGTAGTGAATAAGTCTTTTGTTCCTGTCATACATGCCCTTTTCCTGGTCAAGTTATGGGTCATTTAATTAAACCCTGTTTGAAATTATTACCAGCCTGCTGCTGTGTTCTACTTCATTGCTGGGTCCTGCCTACCCTGGCTATCATTACTGTTAGAAGTTAGAACACGTTTGTGTTGGGGGCTAAAAATGTTAAAATATTAAAATGTAATGAATGTTTGAATGTGTTGATGGCTGTAAATGTTGTGGTGGTGCTCAATTTAAATAAAATATGTGGAGCTGATGTGTTGTGAGCATGAGATACTTCTGGATATATTGCAACCTATGCAACATAGTTAAACAAACAGGGTAAAATACCATAAAAATGATCAAGTCTTTAAACTGGTGTGTTATACCTTTTAAAACAACGATTTAAAAGGTAGCTGGGCACAAAAACAAGTTGGGAGTCTTGAAACAAATGTAGGCGTGTCTATTGGTGCATGAGTAATGAGGAGGCGGAACATAAATGAAAATGAAACTTACTCATCAGAGCACATCTCAGAAAAGAGACACACACAGAGGAGCAGAGCCTAAAATGAATGCATACCAGTATCCGTTATTCTTTGAGGCAAGAGATCTGACAGACAGGGAGAAGAGGAAGATCTGGAGACACTTTCAAAGAAGAAGAGACTCTGGAGGAGGCGAATGTTCAGTGATCGAAAAGGTTGAAGACGATGTCTACAAAGTCAGTTTTCAGGAAAGCCAAGGTATGAAGTAAAGTTGAGGTAAACAGAGAAAATGTTGCAGCAGGTGTGTAATTTATGACTTTGTTCTCACAGACCAGCAGAGAGTTTTGCAGAGGAAGACTCATACCATTTCTCTTCCTGGTGGAGTACTACGGCTAACCATGAGAGAAACCAGTTTGTCCCAGGGTCAGCCACTGGCAGGCCAACATGAAGTAAGGTTTTATCTGCATGTGGACTGAATAATCGCATTAATTCTCATCTATTTACAGGTCCTTCTCAAAAAAATTACCATATTGTGATAAAGTTTATTGTAGCTGCCAGCTGAGCAGCTGATGGCAATGACCCTTAATTGGCTCACAGAATTTATATAAGCCACACCCTTCCAGAGAAAACTGCTTGGGTTAATTTGTTTGTAGAGAAGATAACACTGTTTGAAGCATTGAAATTATGTCTTTAGCCTAAATTCACCTCAGCTGCACATTGCCATCTGCATCCCCACTCAAATCTACAGATAAAGCAGCTTTGAGGAATTATTGTTTTGTTTAACACCCTTGGCCAGCGGAGCAAGTTTTCACTGTAGCTGCCCCTGGCACCATGAAGAAAAGAACGGAGAGCCTCGACGGGTGCAACTCATGGAGTGAAGCCCAAGGCATTGGACCAGAGAAACTAATAAAAGTTTATGCACCCGTCGAGGCTCTCCGTTCCTTTCTTCACGGTGCCAGGGGCAGCTACATTCATTATTGTCTATAATGTACTGATCAACATTAGACTTTCTTATAAGATTCATTACACACAACTGAAGTAGTTCAAGCCTTTTATTGTTTCTAATATTGATGATTTTGGCATTCAGATCATGAAAGCAACCAGCACATACAACACTTCAGTTCTCAGAAAAGTCACACAGATTTCCACAGACCTGTCACATGCTCTCCACTCCCATTACACCCGGTTACCATCAGGCCAGTGGTTCAGGGCCCTCCCAGTGAAGACAAAAAGGGCCTCCTCCAGCTTCCTTCCCTCTTCTGTTAAATAGCATGCCCCAGCAAAAATGACTGCGACCAACACTACGGTAAATCTAGATTGAACTAGTAATCTTTTATTATCGTAATCCTTTTTAAATTCCTTTAATTAAGTGTATTGTGGCATAGCAGAGCCAAGCAGCCTGCTCAGGGGGGCCGCAAAGACTTATGGGTAATGGGCTTTAAGTGTTAGTTATAGAGTTCTTTAGTGTTATCTTATGGCTTGACGTTATATTTTTGTGTTTCCATGGATACCTGTTCTATTTTGTCTAGTCTTAGCCCTTAAGCTAGCTGCTATTGGAAGGATGATCTCAGCATCAGCCAATCATGAAGAGCTTAAATGTACGCCCACCAATGGTGGGCACCCCTGTGGGTATATAAGTGGAGCGACTCCACTGTTCACCTCCGTTATCTCTTCAAGCCAAGCTTAAGAGCTTCCTTTAAAGAGCAATTATCCAAGAAGCATTCTCCTACCATGTCCAGTGATGCCAGGACCTACCCGGCCTGCCAGACGGACTCCATCTCCAGCGGCGACCTGCACGCCAAGTGTGAGGTCTGTCTCGGGGCTCATCACGCTGGCCTGACCTTGACCCCCCAGGCCTCATGCCCGTTTTGTGCCGCTCTGCCCGTGGCTGAAAAGATCCGCCGGGTCGAGTACTTCAACCCCGCCGCCGACGAGGAATTTCCGGTGGCTGACACGTACTCGCTGGACAAGGCCTTACAGTTCTTCAACGCCGGCCAGGAGCCGGCTGGCTTCATCCGACTGGACGATGTCATCGACAGTGAGGAGTACGACGAGGCTGGCTGACATAGCCCTTCTTCCCTCCTGGACAACATGGAGGTCGACGAGCCTCGCTCAGCGGGTCCTTCTGCTCCAGTGACTTCTCGCTCCTCCCTGCCAGCAGTTAGAGCACTGATCAAGGAGTTGCCTGCCATCATCTCCGCGGCTGCGGTCCGCAAGGGGCAAGCCGTGCCAGAACCGGCTCCGCCTGAAGCAGTTGATTTGGCGGGAATTTTTGGGGCAACACAGACGCGCTGTCCAGACCCCATCTGGCCGCGCTTCCCCGCTACCATGAGCTGCTGGTCCGCCGCCTTCTCCGAACCTGCTAAGCTCAAGGCACCAATTTCCACACATGCGCCCATTACCAAGGTCGAGGGCTTCTCCGACCACAGCTGGCCTTCTGTTCCTCCACTGGAGCCAGACTTGGCCTCGCTGTTTGGCGCCAAGAACCACCTCGCTGGCCCGCGAGCAGTTCCCGCTTCTAAGCATGACCAGCTGCTGACGCGGCTCACCGATCGCGCACACCAGTGCGCCTTCCAGACCGGCGCTGCAGGAAATAACATCGCCCTTTTTGCCTTTGGCGTTTCCAAAATGGTGGAAGAGCTTGACGCTCCTGACGAGTCAAAAACCATCATTACTAAAACTGCTGATAAACTGCTGATGCCATTCCCAATCTGTGCGCTGCTGTACTCACCGGTTCTGCTCACATTGCTGCCTGGCAGACCCTTATCCAGCGGCCCTTGTGGCTCAAGGCCCTAACCTCCATTCCTGAAAACCTGCACAGGGAGATGCTGGAAGGCCCCATCACCTCTGACGTTCTGTTTGGTCCCCATCTTAGGAGCGTCATCGAGAGGGCTCAGAAGACAGCTGAACTGTCAGCCACGGTGCGAGACCTGGTCCACCCTCGGTCAGCCCCGCACTCCGGCCATTCCTCCAGAGGATGGGATGAACGGCGCGGAAACTTCAGGCGCCCAGCTGCACCGCCCGCCCCATGGAGCCGGCCTCCCACTTCGGCTCTACCTCAGCGGGACCAGAGAGTTGGCGGCCAACGGTTTCGAAAGAGCCAGCAGACACCGTCTTGGCAGTCACAGTCGCAGGAACCTCGCCGAAAGCAACCACAAAAATGACTCGTTGGGGGGAATGTGTGTGCTTATGACCATAGGCGTCATTTTAACCGGGGACGCCGGGGACATGTCCCCGGCAAAATTTGTGATTGGCAGCTGTGTCCCCCCCACTTTCAAAAACGCCTGCTGATGAGGATTTTTGTTTTACCAGCTCAGATCTTATACCAGGGGTCGGCAACCTGTTCCCATCAAAGAGCCATTATTACCCATTTCCCACGGTCATTTTGGACGGACCTTAATAAGCAGTGACTTAAGTGAAGCAGGCAGGTCGCGCTAGAAAATTTAGTTTAAAAAGATGTCATAAATGTGTTCCCCCGTCCTTTTTATTTATAAAATATGAAGTAAAAACTCACAATTTAATTTTCATTCATTTGTCATTAATATTTAGTCTACACCCGTGCGTTAAGTGGACCATCTTCCAGTAAAAGCAAAGCATCCAGCCCCTCCAAATGCGTAAAATGTGCATCAGCCGCTAGTTATGCGCGCCGCGCGCACCGTCAGCTGATCAGCCCAGACAAGAGCAGAGCAAATAGAGAAAGAATAGAGGATCATTGTGTCTGGATGTGGATGGAGATTACATTTTACAGCAGCCTGATCATCATTTAAATACGTAAACCATCACCTGTCTTCTAGTCCATGCTATCAGCATTATTTTAATTGGTGTGTGTGTGTGTGTGTGTTTTCCACTTCAAACACTGGTCTAACCAACCAGACCAGCGTGCCCAGTAACACATTAATGTTACAATTAAACAGTTTCACTTCATGTAGGCTAGGAACGTTTCACCTGCGTGGCCCGGCCGCTTCTGCTCCACATAAACTTTGTGCGTGATCAAATGTCTCTACGCGTCATGCGTCTCCATATTAGAGACGGGAACAAGCGCTATTCAGCCAAAGTTTCATAATTTCATAAAAAGAAAATTTTTCCAAGTGACACATCCCTCAGAGAGACCTGGTTTCCAGACTGTTTCAGTGGGAGGAAATCTTATCGCATGCGCCGTGGTTCTGCACTGTGCTGCGAACCCCAGATCTTCAGCTCACTGTCCACCGTGGGCGCTCCGAGCCGCGCTGAACACAGTGTCCAGTATAAAGCTCTGATGTTCTGATGGGAATATTTTACCTCCGCGATGTGCGTTAACGATTAAAATGTCAGCTCATCCATGCGCATCAGTGTGCGTCGGGGTAATTCTTTCAAACCAAGCAACATCCTTGAGTTCATCTGTCAAAATAAACAGTCAAATGGAAATATATGTAACCTGCCGTTTAACTGTTTTGTCTTCCTGTGAAGATTGTTGCAAAGAGAAACAATTAAACTTGATTAACCCCAGAGCCACCCAGAGAACCAGAGCGCATGCGGGAAGATTCCTCCCACTGAAGCAAGAGTTTTCCAAACCCTGTCTCTCAGAGAGACTTGTCACTTAGAAAATGTTCCCTGATTATGAAACTTTGGCTGAATAGTGCTTGTTCCTGTCTCCAATGTGGCGACACATCCAGGAGCCGTCTGAGGAGAATCCCAGAATCTCACATTGTCTTCAGCTCATAAAGTGCCTATATGATTACGCACAAGCGTGACCCATCAACCCGGTCTCACAGTAAGACCGGGTTGGACCTGTTCAGGTTTACGCAGACAATCTTTACATTTAGAATTGTCATACAGATGTAAAATTAATGCAGTAAAATATAAAGCATTTTATTTAAATATCCATTCATTATTTTACAAGCACAGAGAGCCGCATCAGATGGATGGAGGAGCCGCATGCGGCTCCAGAGCCGCGGATTGCCGACCCCTGTGCTAGCCTACTTTATTGTCCCCAGCAATTTTTAAACCCCACTCAAGTGTATGGTTATTGTCCCCAGCAATTCTGAAAACAAACTGACGCCCTTGCTTATGACTGTAATAATTCTGTGAATGATGTTGGTTTTGAAATAAAACCCCAAAGACGTCACTTAGAGAGCACAATCCTACAGTCCTCTGCAGAATCCTCTGTCAAATCCTCACACATGTTCCCCACACCAAGCACTGCGACACATCTGCATGTTCCCGCAGTCAGTCATATTACACGGCCAGCTGTACGGGTGCGCTCCATTTGCGCACCGGCCCTAGCTTCCAGCCAGGCCCAACACATTCCACTTCCACCACAACGTTGGGTGGGACGGGATGTCATGGCGCTGTCGCGACCAAGCGCGGCGACACAGTGCGCGGCTCCATCCGCTGGCACTTTGTCGTCCCCATGCACGGGCCCGGCTCCCACTCATCCTTTAACTTTGGACTCCACGCTCCGCGGTGCGGA